GATGGAGGTAATGAGGGAGATGGGGGAATGGTGAGGGGAGATGGAGGTGGTGGAGGGGAGGAGGGGGTAATGGTGAGGGGAGATGGAGGTAATGGTGAGGGGAGATGGTGGATGGTGAGGGGAGATGGAGGTATGAGAGGGGAGAGATGGGGTAATGGTGAGGGGAGATGGGGGTAATGGTGAGGGGAGATGAGGTAATGGTGAGGGGAGATGGAGGTAATGGTGAGGGGAGATGGAGGTAATGAGGGGAGATGGAGGTAATGGAGGAGATGGGGTAATGGTGAGGGGAGATGGAGGGTAATGGTGAGGAGATGGGGGTAATGGTGAGGGAGATGGAGGAATGGTGAGGGGAGATGGAGGTAATGGGAGGGGAGAGGAGGTAATGGTGAGGGGAGATGGGGGTAATGGTGAGGGGAGATGGAAATGGTGAGGGGAGATGGGAGGTGATGGTGAGGGGAGATGGAGGTATGGTGAGGGAGGGAGATGAGGTAATGGTAGGAGAGATGGATAATGGTGAGGAGATGGGGGTAATGGTGAGGGGAGATGGAGGTAATGGTGAGGGGAGATGGAGGGAATGGTGAGGGGAGATGGGAGTAATGGTGAGGGAGATGGAGGTAATGGTGGAGGGGAGATGGGGGTAATGGTGAGGGGAGATGGGGGTGGGAGTAATGGTGAGGGGAGATGGGGGTAGTGAGGGGAGATGAGGAATGTAGGAGATGGGGGTAATGGTGAGGGAGATGGGGTGGAGGAGGGGAGATGGAGGAGGTGGGGGAGATGGATAATGGTGAGGGGAGATGGAGGTAATGGTGAGGGGAGATGGGGGTAATGGTGAGGGGAGATGAGGGAGAGGAGATGGGGGTAATGGTGAGGGAGATGGGGTAATGGTGAGGGGAGATGGGGTAGAGGGAGATGGGGGTATGGGGGTAATGGTGAGGGGAGATGAATAATTACCAGAGAAAAAGATAATTTGAACGTTAAGAGGATGGAGAGATGAGAAAGGAGGTGAGAGAGTGAGAGAGACAGAGGGAGGTGAGAGAGTGAGAGCCAATAAAGAAGAGATAAGGATGTATGACAAGAACATGAAAGGAGGCGTCTTCTTGGTATCCCACTTCAGGTTCCCTCACCTCGTCCTCCACCTATTTTTCGATTCAATTTGGTGCTCCAGTTATTTATAATCGTTAATCAAAGCCGAGATTAAATTCACTCCATTATCTGGTTCTCATTTCCCAACCTAACCAAACTAACCTAACCTAACCTAACCAAACTAACCTAACCTAACCTAACTAACCTAACCCAACCCAACCCAACTAACCTAACCCAATCATTTCTCCTCTTGTCAATAAACTCCTCCCCAATTTGGAGTTCCAGTCACGTCCAATCACCAATCAGGGCTCAGTGTTGTCAATGACGTTCACCAATTCTCCTCCTCCTCCTCCTCTAATAACTAATCAGAGCAACTCTATCCCTCCTCCCACTTCCTTCCTCTGCCAATTACATCCCAATTTTTATTTACCAATCTCTCTTCACCAATACCCCTCATTTCTCTCCTTGGTTTCCTGCCAATTTACCCAATTTTAAGCTCCAATCACCCCTGTCTGCTCATTAATCAAAGCACTGGTCGAGGGACGGCTGAGGAGTGTAGGATTAGGCAGCATCTGAGGATTAAGGAAGGATTAGTGTTCGTCTTAGTGGTGGTGGTTGTTATTTTGTTAGTGGTGAGAGATGGTGGGGAGTGAATGCCCTCCGACTCTCCTCTCGTGCCTCTCTCTCTCCTTTAATCCTTCACCTCCATCTCCCTCACACATTTCCACAACTCACCACACCCTCCCTCCCTCCTTCTCCTAATCCATCACAACCCTCTCTCCTCTCACTTCTCCCATTTCCTACCACATCCTCTCTCTTCCCACCCCCCCCTTTCTCTCCCACAATCTTGATAAAATATGTTTGTCACTGGTCAATATTCCGAGAGTTAGGAAGGAAGGTTAGATGGCCCCTGCTCACCTGCCTGACCAATATTGATCACCACCCACAATATTCTCCTATTCTGGTTGGGAATATTCCTCAGCATTAATAAACCAAGTACTAGAAACTGCATAATAAACCAGTACTACTAGAAGTTCTGCAGCATTAAACCAAGTACTAGAAGTCGCAGCATTAATAAACCAACTACTAGAAGCTCTGCAGCATTAATAAACCATACTAGAAGCCTGCAGCATTAATAAACCAAGTACTAGAAGCTCGCAGCATAAATAAACCAACTACTAGAGTTGCAGCATTAATAAAAACCATACTAGAAGTTTGCAGCATTAATAAACCAAGTACTAGTCTTATTAATAAACCAAGTACTGAAGCTCTGCAGCATTAATAAACCAAGTACTAGAAGTCAGTGCATAATAAACCAAGTACTAGAAGCTCTGCAGCATTAATAAACCAACTACTAGAAGCTCTGCAGCATTAATAAACCAACTACTAGAAGCTCTGCAGCATTAATAAACCAAGTACAGTCTGCAGCATTAATAAACCAACTACTAGAAGCTCTGCAGCATTAATAAACCAAGTACTAGAAGCTCTGCAGCATTAATAAACCAAGTACTAGAAGCTTTGCAGCATTAACAATAAATCTGTATTGCCAGACGATTCACTCAGCAGATTTTGGCCGTCGTCTGGGGAGAAAATCTCTCTTTACGAGTTATTGCTAAATATGCAGACACTCGCTCGCTGAGGGCGTTGTTTCGTGTCTGGCTGTCAGGGGACCCGTACCACACCCTCAATCGTCCGACAGTCAGGATCTTACACCGAGGCTCTTACGTTATCAGGATTCTTAATTAATAGTGAGAGTCTTACAGGAGCGAGAAATTTACGAGTTATAATCTTACGAGAGCGAGATTCTTAACAGTGAGAGTCTTAAGAGTGATAATCATACGAGGCACACACACACACACACACACACACACAGCGGCGTCTTAAGGGTAATGTTGGTCCCGTCTTTGTGTCGTAAGTTAAGTGAGTCAGTCTGGTATGCGTTCTCACGTCTCCAATTAGCGGATTAAAAATATTAACGAGTGTACCTTTCAAAAATCCAGACTCAGGTAAAGTTGAGTACCTTTGTGTTGGTTTAATCTGGACCTAGGTAATGTTGAGTACATTTGTGTTGGTTTTATATCTGGACTTAGGTAATGTTGAGTACCTTTGTGTTTGTCGGTAGTAAGTTTTTTATAGTCTTAGCAAGTGTAAGTTCACAGGATTATGTTGTGGTTGTAATACATTGTCCTCACTTGTTGATGTGTGAGGTCTGCCATAAGTGATGCTGGAAATATTGCAGCTGTGGTGGTAAACGGGTGTAGCAGACGTGTTGTAGAACCTCTGTTACAGCTGTGGTGGTAAACGGGTGTAGCAGACGTGTTGTAGAACCTCTGTTACAGCTGTGGTGGTAAGCGGGTGTAGCAGACGTGTTGTAGAACCTCTGTTACAGCTGTGGTGGTAAACGGGTGTAGCAGACGTGTTGTAGAACCTCTGTTACAGCTGTGGTGGTAAGCGGGTGTAGCAGACGTGTTGTAAAACCCGTGTAGGAGGTTCACAGCGAGCCAAAAAATCTAGCAGTGATAAACAGATAACATGCCGAGGTTCACAAGGCTCCCACGACAGCCTGAGGAAGGAGGCCTGAACGATGGTGTAACGAGGTGTGGGCGACGAGCAACTCCCCGAGGGTCACGTCTGCTGTGTCCTGGAGAAGTACCGAGTCCTTCACGATGCTCTCACACTCACTACTGATGTTACCGAGTCCCTCATGATGCTCTCACACTCACTACTGATGTTACCGAGTCCTTCACGATGCTCTCACACTCACTACTGATGTTACCGAGTCCCTCATGATGCTCTCACACTCACTACTGATGTTACCGAGTCCTTCACGATGCTCTCACACTCACTACTGATGTTACCGAGTCCCTCATGATGCTCTCACACTCACTACTGATGTTACCGAGTCCTTCACGATGCTCTCACACTCACTACTGATGTTACCGAGTCCTTCACGATGCTCTCACACTCATTGCTGTCTTAAAGTGGCGGAGAAGTCATTATTCAGGAGACTTGAGGCCACGACTCTTATGTAACGAGAGAGAGAGAGAGAGAGAGAGAGAGAGAGAGAGAGAGAGAGAGAGAGCACCGTGTGGTGTTTGTTTTTCTCTAGAACGACACAAACTTTATATTAAACTCTCGCCTTTTAGATATTCAGGTTAGGACAGGTTAGGTCAGATCAGGAAGGGTTAGGTTAGGCTAGGTTAGGCTAGGCTAGGTTAGGCTAGGCTAGGTTAGGTTAGGTTAGGATAGGTAAGGAAGGGTTAGGTTAGGCTAGGTCAGGTCAAGTCAGTAAGATGTTTTTATCTTTACACTCTGACGTATTTGATGACGTACACGTGACTGTAGGTATGTATGTATGTGTGTGTGTGTGTGTGTGTGTGTGTGTGTGTGTGTGTGTGTGTGTGTGTGTGTGTGTGTAGGCAGCTGGAGACACACACACACACACACACACATCCGCGCGCGCGCGCGCGGATGATCGTCTCACCAGTTTTCATCCGTTTAAATTTGTTGCTGTATATGCAGAAACACGTTTGTCCGTCCCTGTCTTACTGTGAGAGTGAGAGAAAGTCCTCCCCCTCTCTCTCTCCCCACCTCCACACCCATCATTCTCTCCCAATTTACTAAGCTCCCCACGTTTAGTTCTCCCCACATCACGACCTAACCACCCACATCGACTCATCTACCTACTCTCTCACCCTCACACCCAGTCACCCACTTACGACTCTCTCCCCAGCCACCCCCCCCCCACACCTATTGTCTCCCCATGTTTAGTTCTCCCCACATCACGACCTAACCACCCACACAAACTCATCTACTTACACTCTTTCTCCCCATCCCCACACTCAGCCTTCCCCCAAACCCATCCAGCCATCATTCTCTCCCCACCTACTAAGCTCCCCACGTCTGCTTCTCCCCAGATCACGACCCGGACGACATCGAGCTCAACGTGGTGCGGTACAAGCCAGACGGGATAGACGCGCTCGCCAGGACAACCAAATTTAGCAAAAAGGAATTACAACTTATGTACAGAGGCTTCAAGGCGGTGAGTCAGCTGGCCCTATGTTTGTTGTGTGTGTGTGTGTGTGTGTGTGTGTGTGTGTGTGTGTGTGTGTGTGTGTGTGTGTGTGTACGCACGTGCGTGTTTTAACACTAAGAACACCTCATTCTCTCCTTTCTACCCTCCTCCCCACCCATCCTCTTCCTTCCTCCCTCCCTCCCTCCCACTCCCTTCCTTCCTCCCTCCCACACACTCCCTTCCCCCCCCCACCCCATATCCTCCTACCACTCCTTTCCTCCCACTCCCTCCCTCCCTCCCTCAGGTGATAATAACAGGTGGACCAGCAGATAATTAGGCCATGAATCACCGTAATTGGTCAAAGGTGATGACCCAACATAGTTGTGGCCACACAGTTGACCTCGGAAATTACCCTCCTGGAGTATAATGACGTGTGTGTGTGTGTGTGTGTAGTGGAGGGAGGGAGGGAGGGAGGGAGGGAATATGACCTGTCTTTATATAATGGAGGGAGGGGGAGACAGAGAGACAAGAGATACAGACAGGAACAAGAGAGACAGAGAGACATCATCCGAGCTGCCAATATATCAACTTGAGTCAGATTCTTTTAAATACTTTTTATTGCTGAGAAAAGACTTACACGTCACACCTGGAGTCTACCTCATTATTTCTGCCTACCCCTCCCCCTACCCCACCTACCCCTCCACCTGTCTACCTCTTGCCCCCTCCCCCCCCCCTCCCCCTACCCCCCTACCACTCCACCTATCTACCTCCCCCCTCCTCTTTCTCCTCCCCTACCCCTTCTTATTTCGCCAACTTCCCTCCTCTCCCCCCTTCTTCCCTTTCCTCAGCTCCCCCTACCCTAACACCCCCCTCCCACTCCCTCCAGATCCACCCCCTCCTCGATACACTCCCCTTGACTCACCATCTCCTCCCTTCCCTTCTCATACTCCACATCCCTCCTTCCTCCAAGCATTACCCCTCCATCCCTCCACCCTTTCCTCACTCCACAAACCTACTCCTCTCTCTACTCTCTCTCTCTGTCTGTCTGTCTCTCTCTCTCTCTCTCTCTCTCTCTCACATTTTAGATAGATAGAGGCACAGACAGACAGACAGACAGACAGACAGACATACAGACATACAGACAGACAGACAGACAGACAGATAGAGACTCAACTATTGATCCCAGCTATTAATTAAACGTGGCCGACTATGATATAACCTGTTTGTTTTTAATTACTGTACGCGAGTCCCTGTTTCTGATTGGCTATCAGGTGGGAGTTCATCACAGACGGAAAGACACACAGACAGACGGGTAAACAACATGAATAGATAAACAGACGGATGAACAGACTGACTGACACACTTACATACACCCACACAGACTGACACACTTACATACACCCACACAGACTGACACACTTACATACACCCACACAGACTGACTGACACACTTACATACACCCACACAGACTGACACACTTACATACACCCACACAGACTGACACACTTACATACACCCACACAGACTGACACACTTACATACACCCACACAGACTTTAACATAAAAGTATTATATCAAGTAAACAGATGTGTGTGTGTGTGTGTGTGTGTGTGTGTACTTACATTGACACACACATAGACAGACATAAACAAACACAGAGAAACAAGGAGACGAACAGACAGACAGAGAAATAGAGAGACGGGAATAGACAGACAATTGAACAGATAATCGGCAGAAAATACAAGACAGAAGTAGTCAAAGATACAGACAGCGAGACGGATAGGTAAAAGACAGCGAGAGACGGAGAAAATAACAAGAGCCCCCTGACACACCCCTGTCTACACCAGGCCATTATTCCTTGATCCAGCTTAGGAGAGACGGCAACAAGATGGAGTTATATGTGTGTGTGTGTGTGTGTGTGTGTGTGTGTGTGTGTGTGTGTGTGTGTGTGTGTGTGTGTGTGTGTATTCATATTCTATTTTGTTTAGTTTTTTAGGCATAGCGGAGATATTGTTCTTTCTTACACACACACACACACACACACACACACACACACACACACACACACACACACACACACACACACATGTACAAACTATATTTATCTGTCTCATATACAAACACACTACCAGCTGAGACAAACAAACAAACACACTCCCAAGTGAAACAAACACACACACACACACACTCAGACCTTGTTACAGTCTTTGATCACAACCGGCGCCATGTTTGTTCGATGCATTAGCTTGTGATTTACTCGGGCGTGAAGAGCTTAATGCCTGGCCGCCCGTGCGTGTGTGTGTGTGTGTGTGTGTGTGTGTGTGTGTGAGAGAGAGAGAGAGAGAGAGAGAGAGAGAGAGAGACGTGTGGGGAGAATGTTGTGACAATATTAGGTTTATAGTGAAGACAGTTCTCACACGCGTATAACTCTACGGACTTGGCCACCCACATTTAACTTACTCTTCTCTTCACCCTGTACAGGATATTCATTGACTCCAGAACTTTTCACCTCCTGTACAGTGAACTCTCTATTTAACGGACTACATGGAGCGGGAAGTCTGTTAAATAGAGGGTTCGTTAGATGCTAAACCTCATCTACGGACTAAAGAGGCTAGATTGAGGTCCGTTACATGCAAAACTTCCATCTAAAATAATGTATTGATAGGAAAATCCGTTAAATCGAGGGTCCATTAGACATTAAACCTCTATTTAACGGACTACTTACATTAGATCGAGGTCCGTTAGCCATCCACATATGACTTACTAATTATGTTTCTTTTTGTTCATTAATGACCCGTGACTTTTGATCTTCACTAATAAGGTCAAGGAATATATCTCACATCCTAACTATTGATGCCAGAGTCACGGTAATGTGGCGTCTCTAACCTCAACAAATAATATCGCCCGGTGTTCTTTCGTCACTCGCCTGGCGTTACCACAAAACATACGCGACCCACAAATACGCCTTCATTTCCTTAAGAGAACTATGCCGGACGAATATTCGCCTGGTTTCTACACACACACACACACACACACACACACACACACACACACGCACACACACACACACACACACACACACACGCTATGTACTAATAGGCGGATTAGGAACTATTTTACACAAATCTCCCTCAACACCTATGAGAAAGAGATGGGCCTGAATACAGCCCCTGCCTACACTCCCCCACTTAACCAAGGAAGAGAAAAAATATAAGAATTTATTTCACGTGATTGAGAGAGTCGAGGTGATGCTGATTCTTAGTACACACGTCCTATCCCGGCCACCAACCGCTGACAACCTGCCACCACTCCTTCACCATAGTGGGAGTGAGGGAGGGAGTCACCACTCCTTCATCATAGTGAGAGGGAGTCACCACTCCTTCATCATAGTGAGAGGGAGCCACCACTCCTTCACCATAGTGGGAGTGAGGGAGGGAGTCACCACTCCTTCATCATAGTGGGAGGGAGTCACCACTCCTTCACCATAGCGGGAGTGAGGGAGGGAGTCACCACTCCTTCACCATAGCGGGAGTGAGGGAGGGAGTAATGGGCCATAAGGCAGGTAATAAAGGAGGCAGTAGAGTATAAAAGAAAGTGTCGGGCGGCGGCGGGCGGATGATAAAACAGTGAACGTATAGATAACTACCACACCACTACCACTAAACCATTCATGTGTGTGTGTGTGTGTGTGTGTGTGTGTGTGTGTGTGTGTGTGTGTGTGTACGAAGGACATATATCAGTGTCTGTCTCCCTGTCTTTCCGTCTGTCTATCTGTATGTCTGTCAGCTTCTCTCTTGATATTCTCGTAGGAATATCTTGACGTTTCTCGAGGGAAGGAGTGATGTATTGGTCTGTCTTTTAACCACAACAGACCTGGACGGACTGTGACAAGGTTGTGATGGGGTCAGGAATTAGGAGTCGGGGTCAGGAGTCAAGGATCAAGGGTCAGGAGTCATGGGTCAGGAGAGAGAGTGACACTGATATGATCTGGAGAGGTTTGTTGAGAATTAAACGCTCTCTCTCTCTCTCTCTCGTCCCTCCGTGTTGTATCTGCTCAACAACTCTCTCTCAGCAAAGATGTGAAGCTATAAACAGTGTGAATCATTATTTTCCACAGCTGTGTGTGTGTGTTCATCTTTCACACACACACACACACACACACACACACACACTTCTCGATACGTTAATGTGTATGTTTTATATGCCCCCCTCCCTCTCTCCCCACCCCACTCCTTCCATCACTCTCTTCCTCCCTTATCCCTCCTTCACTAAGCACCACTAAGATGTCCTTATCTTCACAGGAGTGTCCCAACGGCATCGTGAGTGAGGACACCTTTAAGGGCATCTACTCTCAGTTCTTCCCACAAGGAGGTGAGTCTGTCTGTCTGTCTGTCTGTCTGTCAGTCTGTCAGTCAGTCTGTCTGTCTGTCTGTCTGTCTGTCAGCCACATCAGAAAAAAAATTCCGCAACAAAATTCTGAGTCAGCAGAGACGCCCCCCCTTGCCTGCCTGCGGTCACCTCCTGTTTGTGTCAGCTGTGTGTGTCAGTTGTGTGTGTCAGTTGTGTGTGTCAGTTGTGTGTGTCAGCTGTGTGTCAGTTGTGTGTGTGTCAGTTGTGTGTGTCAGTTGTGTGTGTCAGCTGTGTGTGTCAGTTGTTTGTGTCAGTTGTGTGGTTCAGTTGTGTGTCAGTTGTGTGTGTCAGTTGTTTGTGTCAGTTGTTTGTGTGTCAGTTGTGTGTGTGTCAGTTGTTTGTGTCAGTTGTTTGTGTCAGTTGTTTGTGTCAGTTGTGTGTGTCAGTTGTGTGTGTCAGTTGTGTGTTATCACTCTGTGTGTATCAGTTGTGTGTGTCAGCTGTGTGTCAGTTGTTTGTGTCAGTTGTGTGTGTCAGTTGTTTGTGTCAGCTTGTGTGTGTCAGTTGTTTGTGTCAGTTGTGTGATTATTGTCAGTTGTGTGTGTCAGCTGTGTGTGTCAGTTGTTTGTGTCAGTTGTTTGTGTCAGTTGTGTGTGTCAGTTGTGTGTGTCAGTTGTGTGTGTCAACTCTGTTGTCAGCTGTTTGTGTCAGTTGTGTGTGTCAGTTGTGTGTGTCAGCTGTGTGTGTCAGTTGTGTGTGTGTCAGTTGTGTGTATGTGATTTGTGTGTGTCAGTTATGTGTGTCAGTTGTATGTGTAGTTGTGTGTGTCAGTTGTGTGTGTCAGTTGTGTGTGTCAGTTGTGTGTGTCAGTTATTGTGTGTCAGTTGTGTGTGTCAGTTGTGTGTGTTAGCTGTGTGTGTCAGTTGTGTGTGTCAGTTGTGTGTGTCAGTTGTGTGTGTCAGTTGTGTGTGTGTCAGTTGTGTGTGTCAGTTGTGTGTGTGTCAATTGTGTGTGTCAGTTGTTTGTGTCAGCTGTGTGTGTCAGTTGTGTGTCAGCTTTGTGTGTCAGTTGTGTGTGTCAGCTGTGTCAGCTGTGTGTGTCAACTGTGTGTGTCAGTTGTGTGTGTCAGCTGTGTGTGTCAGTTGTGTGTGTCAGCTGTGTGTGTCAGTTGTGTGTGTCAGTTGTATTATTGTCAGTTGTTTGTGTCAACTGTGTGTCAGTTGTTGTGTGTCAGCTGTGTGTGTCAGTTGTGTGTCAGCTGTGTGTGTCAGTTTTGTGTGTCAGCTGTTGGTCAGCTGTGTGTGTCAGTTGTGTGTGCCAGCTGTGTGTGTCAGTTGTGTGTGTCAGCTGTGTGTCAGCTGTGTGTGTCAACTGTTTTTGTCAGTTGTGTGTCAGCTGTGTGTGTCAGTTGTTTGTGTCAGCTGTTTGTGTCAGTTTTGTGTCAACTCTGTGTGTCAGTTGTTTGTGTCAACTTTTGTCAGTGTTTGTCAGTTGTGTGTGTCAGTTGTGTGTGTCAGTTGTGTGTCAGTTGTGTGTGTCAGTTGTGTGTCCCTGATTGTGTGTCAGTTGTGTGTGTGTCAGTTGTTTATTGTCAGCTGTGTGTCAGCTGTGTGTGTCAGTTGTTGTGTGTCAGCTGTGTGTGTCAGTTGTGTGTCAGCTGTGTGTGTCAGTTGTGTGTGTCAGCTGTGTGTGTCAGTTGTGTGTCAGTTATTGTGTGTGTCAGTTGTGTGTGTCAGTTGTGTGTGTCAGTTGTGTGTCAGTTGTTGTTGTCAGCTGTGTGTGTCAGTTGTTTTTCAGTTGTGTCAGTTGTGTGTCGATTTTATGTGTCAGTTGTGTGTCAGTTGTGTGTATTGTCTCGATTGTGTGTGTCGCTGTGTGTGTCAGTTGTGTGTCAGCTGTGTGTGTCAGTTGTTTGCGTCAGCTGTGTGTCAGTTGTTTGTGTCAGTTGTGTGTGTCAGCTGTGTGTCAGTTGTGTGTGTCAGTTGTGTGCGTCAGCTGTGTGTCATGTTGTATGTCAGTTGTTTGTCAGTTGTGTGTCCAGTTGTGTGTGTCAGCTGTGTGTCAGCTGTGTCCAGTGTCAGTTGTGTGTCAGCTGTGTGTTGTTCAGTTGTGTGCGTCAGTTGTGTGTCAGTTGTGTGTGTCAGTTGTTTGTGTCAGTTGTTTGTGTCAGTTGTTTGGCAGTTGTTTGTCAGTTGTTTGTGTCTACGTAACTCACTCAGATAAACATTCATTAACATTATCTAAACGACGTTTGTGTTTATAACTCACAACATTCATCACAGTAATTAACTAATCATTATATATCGTCTGTGTTTGGGTGACATAAACATATATAAACTGTAATGATTAACTAAACATAACTATTCAACATCAACTGTGTTTAAGTGATATTAATTTGCTCCTTTGGACAACCTAAATAACGTTAATATAATTTAACTTTACAGTGTTGGAGAAACTCACATAATTCAACATAACTAAATAACATTAAGTAAATATAACATTAATTGGTTTTGGAGAGAGAGAGAGAGAGAGAGAGAGAGAGAGAGAGAACAAGTTATGACAGGAACAAGTCAACGTGTAGGGGTCGGGACGAGAGAGAGCCACATCCCGTTACCATGACAACCAAGATCGAGCACCCAGCTATGAGATGAGGAGGGATGCCCCACACCTGTACACACCTGTCCTAGATCGCTGGGATACCTTTACACACCTGCCAAGGGTCATTGAGATACTGTACATTGTAGAGTGCACACACCTGTTATGGGTCACCGAAATACCTCTACATACCTGTTAAGGTTCGCTGTAACACCTCTGCGACTCTACACACCTGCCAAAGCTCATCGCCTACCTCTACACATATGTTCATTTCTAAACACACACCTGTTCGATTTGTACACACATTATAAGAACATCTGGCCTGAGACATATGTATACTCTCTCTCTCTCTCTCTCTCTCTCTCTCTCTCTCTCTCTCTCTCTCTGCACATAAAATTTTTTTAACACAATACGTGGACGTAATTTTTCCCTCTATCTGGGTTGCAAGATACAGACCCCGTCCTAACAGGCCCCAGTGCTAACAGGCCCCAGTGCTAGTAGGCCCCTGTATTAATGGGCCTCTATCCTAATAGGCCCCAGTTCTAAGATGTCTGCATTCTAATAGATCCCAGTACTAATAGTCCCTAGTCCCAATAGGCCCAGGTCCTAATAGGTCTCGGTCTCAATAGGTCTGATAGGCCCCCAGTCTCTTTTACTACTACCAATACACAAAGCCTACAGACACCAACTTAACTTAATGACGCAGAAGAACCAACGAGGGCGAGGCCGCACTACTCCCCCGAACTCCACTTATTGGCGGCGAGAACTTCCCCCTAATGGAGGCATTAAATGAATCAGTTTTACCATTTTTTATTTATACGAACTGAATGACTTTTTTCCTTTAGCGTTGAAAAGGTTTTGGGAGGTTTTTCATGATGTTGAAAAGGTATTGAAAGGTTTTTGTGTGATTGGGAAAAGATTTTTGGGAGGAAGGTTTTCTTAGAGGCGGAACGAACGGTAATGGAGGAGTTTTTTTTCTTAGTAGGGTAAAATATTCTTCTTCTTCTTCTTCTTCTTCTTCTTCTTCTTCTGTAAACCACCTCTATTGGTATCTCACAAAGTTAGACATTTTCACAGACATGGCTTAGGACTCAGATATGGCCCAGGGGAGTCAGACATTGATCAGGAGACTCAGACATGGCCCGAAAAAGTCAATCATGGCCCAGGAAGCCAGACATGACCCAGGGAGTCAGGCGTGGCTTAGAAGAGTCATCCATGGCCTAAGGAGTTAGACATAGCCCAGGGGAGTCAGACATGGCCCAAGGGAGTCAACCATAGCCCAGGAGAGTCAGACATGACCCAGGGGAGTTAGACGTTTTCGCATCAAAAGTCAAGACATTTCCTGACCACCACACGGGGTCAGCCATGTCTTCGTCCCCTCCCCCACTAGCTGGGAACACGGCTCTGAGAATGAAGTACCGGTTGACTGGGTCCTGATGCCGTCTGTTTGACCTGACGAGGGTAAGGTCCCACTGGTTCTGACGGACTGCTGAGGTTCTACTGGTAGTGGATGGGTTCTATAGGTTCTCATTGAGGGGGGGGGGGTATTACAGCTGCTGTCTCTACGTTCTAAAGCTGTTCTGTTTATACTGGTGAGGTTCTAGGGTCAGCCTCAGTGTCCGAGATCACAGAAAACGGAATCTTTCTAAGGACAAACAAAAACAATGCCCACTTAGGTCGTGATACTGTCGCAGGTATACGGTGTGTGTGTGTGTGTGTGTGTGTGTGTGTGTGTGTGTGTGTGTGTGTGTGTGTGTGAGGACTCCACTACCCTCAGCCCAACATGTTTCTCCCACACACAGATGCGACGGCCTACGCCCACTACGTCTTCAACACCTTCGACACAGACCATCAAGGCTCCATCAGCTTCGAGGTGAGTCAACAATCTTAAGGTAAACTTTATGTTAAGCTTCACTAAGCTTTCCTAAGCTCTCCAGATATTTGTTGGGATTAACGATAGGTTGAATTAACGTAGAATTAAAGATGGAGTATAATAATAATAATAAAAATTACACATGGAAAAATAATAAGAAAATAAATTATAATCTAAATCTTTTTTATGCAAATGTTAATTATTATTTTTATATGTTTATAAGTTTATGTTAACAATATGGTGAGTAAATATATAATAATACCATGTTAGATCACCATACCGGTATATTTGAGGCCATCCTTTACTGAGTGAACCGAGAGAACCGAGTGAACTGAGAGAAATGAGAGAGCCGAGAGAACCTAGAGAACCGAGAGAACCGAGAGAACTGCCTCATATGCAAATGGCAGAACTCGGTGCAGTTTTAAGGTGGCATCTTTGGAAGTTGGGGAATGAAGAGTTAGTCAGGCTTAAGACCTTGTGGAAAAGAAGAATTATGAATGATTATGGAAGATGGAAGAACTTGTGGCTAATGAGAGAGAGAGAGAGAGAGAGAGAGGCAGGGAGGGTTGAGTGGGTGAGAGTGGGTGGTGGCAGCCTGGAGAGAGTGCTTGGTAGAGCAGGTGAGTAAGAGGGCGGTGAGAGGGAGAGGAAAAGGAACAACGAAGAGTAAGAGAGGGAGAGATGTGAGGAGGAGGGAGGTGATGGACGGCAGAAAGAAAGGGTATGTGGGGAGGAGGGGGAGGGGGAGAGGGAGAGGAGAAGGAGGAAAATGTTGTAAGATGTTGTCTAGAGAGAGAGGGGAGGGAGTCTCAGGTGAGTTATCAACAGGTGTGAAGATCCTCAAATCTGGTTCTTCTGCTACAAACTTTGTATAGATGAATGAAAGGGCTTAGCAACGACCTCTTGCACACACACACACACACACACACACACACACACACACACACACACACACACACACACACACACACACACACACACACATACACACTTTGAATCTCTGTCCACCAGCAATCAAATGATGACTAAATAAATTGAATTTGGAAAGTTTCCTCCGCTAAATTACCGAGAGAGAGAGAGAGAGAGAGAGAGAGAGAGAGAGATTAAATATGAAGAACCAGAGTACTATACAGTAGTTTTTACCTCGTATCAAGCTTGAGTGACTCATGATGAACTCAACTACCTGAGTAAATGAACTAAATCAACGAACCTTTAGAGTGAATCTTCTCATTCAATGATTCATCATCTAAAGTGAATCACCCTTCCTCCTCTGAGTACCACATTAACACACGGCTTTAGGTGAACTTCTCATTCCTCATGCCGCGGAGTGCATCATCTGAATCATTCTTCACACAGGGAGTAAATCATCCGAATCATTCTACTACCAAAGTGAATCTTCTATCAGGTCATCCTCAGAGAATCTCATTACCACGCAGCGTGAGATGAGTTCCCCATTCATCAGTGAGAGTGAATCATTCATCAGTGAGAGTGAATCATTCATCAGTGAAAGTGAATCATTCGTCAGTGAGAGTGAATCATTCATCAGTGAGAGTGAATCATTCATCAGTGAGAGTGAATCATTCATCAGTGAGAGTGAATCATTCATCAGTGAGAGTGAATCATTCATCAGTGAGAGTGAATCATTCGTCAGTAAGAGTGAATCATTCATCAGTGAGAGTGAATCATTCGTCAGTGAGAGTGAATCATTCATCAGTGAGAGTGAATCATTCGTCAGTGAGAGAAAATCGTATGGAATCATTTCATTACCTCATCTAAAAACCCTCGAGTTTTTTCCCTTGATTAAAACTCATTTGGAAGTTTTAATCAACAGGCTTCTGGGGGGTGTATGCCTCCCACTTCCCTCACCGACAAGGAGGAGGAAGAGCCTGGGGAGGAAACAGAGGAGCTTGTGTTGAGGGAGGAGAAGGTGGAACATGAGGAGGAGAAAGAGGAGGAGTTGCGGGTATCCTAAGGCGTCCAGAGGCGGTGTAAAGCCTCCTGAGCCGCCCTGGGTTCATCTGAAGAGTCCCTGAAGGCCTCTGAGGTGTGGTCGGGGAGCAAGGCAAGGGTCTGGAAGAACATTAAATCATCTTGAAAGACTTTTTGGAGACGTTCCACTGTAAACGTTCTCAAGTGATTTACGAAGGACGCCAGAGAGAAGACCTTACATTCTACGTAATTGATCCTGAAGGAATTGAAGTGTCTTGAAGGATTCTGAGGAATCCCGAACACACTTACGAGCATCTTAAAGGATGCTGAAGGAATTGGAAAAGTTGTCCGAGTGTGTAGGTGGAGCTTGGAAGTCGTGAGGTTTAACTGAAAGAGTTCTGACAGACCTTCAAGGCCATGAAGGTCCCTGAGGCGTCCTGCAGGATTCAGGGGCATCCTACAATCATTCCGACAGATCTCGAAAAACCTGGGAAATCCCATAAAAAATATAACAGATCCGAAAGGACATGGGACATCCAACAACAGTCTGGCAGTGTTAAATGCTTTGCAGCGTTCTAAAAGAAGTTTTATTGATCCTGAAAGTCGTTCAGCATATTACAAATGTCTTCAAACACTCTGAACACGTCAGATATATCAAATAATTTAAAGTAGCATGGTTGAGGGCTGACACTTGCCCTGACTGACACCTGACTCGGGCTGGCTGACACCTAAGTCAGCCTACCTGGCGTCTAGTTCAAGTTAGGTGACACAACTCGAGCTGACATCAAACTGATTCACTCCGGCACGGCCCTTGACACCCCATAACCCCTCCTGGCCACCTCAGTCACCCCATAACCCCTCCTGGCCACCTCAGTCACCCCATAACCCCTCCTGGCCACCTCAGTCACCCCATAACCCCTCCTGGCCACCTCAGTCACTCCATAACCCCTCCTGGCCACCTCAGTCACCCCATAACCTCTCCTGGCCACCTCAGTCACCCTATAACCCATCCTGGCCACTTCAGTCACCGCCACCAACCAAGAGAAAGAAAATATAACCATAAATCTCTCCCGTCATTACAAACAAGAGACTGACTGGCAGGTTCTCCCTCACAGCCTCTTTTAGGCAGATACCTGGCGTCAGATCCTCCCCTCACAGGTCGTGTTTTGTTTACCTCTGGGGAGTTACCAGTTAGTGTTATTGTGATCATTGTTTTCTCTTTCGTGTTGATAGATTTAGTATTATTCTCATGTTTTATTATTATTATTATTATTATTATTATTATTATTATCCTTCCTTCCTTCCCTTCGTCGCACTGTCTCACTTTTCCACCCTCTTCCTTCCCTTATTATCTCTGTCTCACCTCGCCTCTCCCTCCCCCTCCTCACACATCTTCCTCCCCATCCACAGGACTTCGTGACCATCCTGTCGGAGTTGTCAAGAGGGACGATGACGGAGAAGCTACGGTGGGCCTTCAACCTGTACGACATTAACGGCGACGGCTACATCACCAAGGAAGAGCTGCTGGACATAGTGACGGCCATCTACTCCCTGGTGGGCCGTAACGCCACCCCGGCCGTCGAGGAGAACACCACCCAAGAGCATGTAGACAGGATCTTTGAGGTGAGTGTGTGTGTGTGTGTGTGTTCAGTAGTATCTCTCTCTCTCTCTCTCTCTCTCTCTCTCTCTCTCTCTCTCTCTCTCCTGGTGGCGGACATCTCACATACCACCGCACTATCCATAACTTCGTTCGAGGGAGATTTGCACCTGTTATTAGATCTACATGGTGTGTAGGTATGACTCCACACACACACACACACACACACACACACACACACACACACACACACACACACACACACACACACACACACCAGTAATCGAAGTCAGTTCTCCAGCTACGACAAGGCGCCGGGGCCCACTAAACAGCAATGTACCCTACCTGGAAAATAATGTAAATAAATAATAAAACTACCTCACGACATCGCCATTCACGTGTGCTCTGACGTCATGTTAACGTCCACTCACAGATTTCCCTATGACTGAGAGAGGGAAATCTCTCTCTCTCTCTCTCTCTCTCTCTCTCTCTCTCTCTCTCTCTCTCTCTCTCTAAATACACAAATCAAGCAGTAACACAAATATACATGTATACATATCACACACACATACACACACACACACACACACACACACACAATACGAGTCAAAACTCAAATAAAAGCAGAGAGAGAGAGAGAGGGAGAGAGAGAGAGAGAGAGAGAGGTAACTATGGTAACGAGTCAGTCAGGCACAAGACCTTTCCTACCAGGGCTCTTCCTCCTCTTCATCCTCCTCTTCCTTCTTTTCCACCTACTCTTCCCTCTCCTCCTCCTCCTCCTACTTTTCCTCCTACTTTTTTCTCCTCCTTCTTCTCCTCCTCTTATCTTCCTTCTACCTCCTCTTATCTTCCTCCCTCTCCTCTTCGTCCTCCTTCCCTTCCTGCTCCTCCTCCTCCCGTTGCTTTTATTTTGTTTCTCTCTGGACGAGGACCCCGTTCATGTATGTATTTATGTATGTATGTATGTATGCATGTATGTATGTATGTATGTATGTCTGTATGTATGTATGTCTGTATGTCTGTATGTATGTATGTATGTATGTATGTATGTATGTCTGTATATATGTATGATATTGAAACAAAGATCATAAAAGTGCAGCGTTAATCATCATACAACACTCAATACACCACAACACAACAGACCAATCTCGGGAGAATCACATTAGAGGGTATCCAATCAGGGCGTGAGAGACCCGCCGCGCCGTGTTTGTACAGCCAAGATCACCCACACCTCCGAACACACTCACCTCTAGAACTATATTATTGTTTATATCTCGCCACTCGTCCCAACACGTGAATAGTTGACGAGATTATTAACATGGACCTTGTTGATAGTTAAGTCATCACACGTAGTAAACTGATTAGGAGCGTACGTTCACACACACACACACACACACACACACACGCACACACACAGGGTGGCGGGGTTCATTTTTATATCTACGTATAAATTAATTCCTGTTTAAAAAAAAATATCCATCTGAAATTATCTGTCTATAGTAACAGTAGTTTTTATGACCATCAATATGATTACTAAGAAGGAATTAATGAGTTTAGAGAGATGGTTTAATTAACACGAGCGAGGAGACGATGCTGTGAGTAGTGACCCAATGTTGGTCTTTATATTGATTTAATTTAGGGAGGGGGAAGGGGGGAGAGGGGAGGAGGAGAGGAAAGGGATTGAAGGAGAGGGAAGGGAGGAGAGAGAGAAGCGGGAAAAATGGGGAAAATAACAGGGAAATGGGGTAGAGTGAAGGGGCTGAGAGAGGAAAAAGGGGAAACGGTAAGGGGAAAGAAGGGGGTAACTAAATGAGGCTTGGTCACCACATCAGTCTCTCCCTGGCTCACCTGCCTATCAATGTCTCTCCCTGGCTCACCTGCCTATCAATGTCTCTCCCGTTATCTCCCTCAGTATATCATCAGTCTCTCCCTGGCTCACCTGCCTATCAATGTCTCTCCCGTTATCTCCCTCAGTATATCATCAGTCTCTCCCTGGCTCACCTGCCTATCAATGTCTCTCCCGTTATCTCCCTCAGTAAATACTTCACTCTACACATACTATAAGTTACAAGTCATTGTGTGAGACAGTATAAGTACTTGTATTTTGTTTGTCTATTTTACATAACCTTTTTAATATTTTCCTCTAGCACCACATTGTGTTGGCCTGTGGTAGTGTGTTTACGTCTAGTGTTGAGTGTGTTTACGTCTAGTGTTGAGTGTGTTTACGTCTAGTGTTGAGTGTGTTTACGTCTAGTGTTGAGTGTGTTTACGTCTAGTGTTGAGTGTGTTTACGTCTAGTGTTGAGTGTGTTTACGTCTAGTGTTGAGTGTGTTTACGTCTAGTGTTGAGTGTGTTTACGTCTAGTGTTGAGTGTGGTTACGTCTAGTGTTGAGTGTGTTTACGTCTAGTGTTGAGTGTGTTTACGTCTAGTGTTGAGTGTGTTTACGTCTAGTGTTGAGTGTGTTTACGTCTAGTGTTGAGTGTGTTTACGTCTAGTGTTGAGTGTGTTTACGTCTAGTGTTGAGTGTGTTTACGTCTAGTGTTGAGTGTGTTTACGTCTAGTGTTGAGTGTGTTTACGTCTAGTGTTAGTGTGTTTACGTCTAGTGTTGAGTGTGTTTACGTCTAGTGTTGAGTGTGTTTACGTCTAGTGTTGAGTGTGTTTACGTCTAGTGTTGAGTGTGTTTACGTCTAGTGTTGAGTGTGGTTACGTCTAGTGTTGAGTGTGTTTACGTCTAGTGTTGAGTGTGTTTACGTCTAGTGTTGAGTGTGTTTACGTCTAGTGTTGAGTGTGTTTACGTCTAGTGTTGAGTGTGTTTACGTCTAGTGTTGAGTGTGTTTACGTCTAGTGTTGAGTGTGTTTACGTCTAGTGTTGAGTGTGTTTACGTCTAGTGTTGAATGTGTTTACGTCTAGTGTTGAGTGTGTTTACATCTAGTGTTGAGTGTGTTTATTAACAACATTACGTATTACAGAAACTGGACATCAATGGTGACGGGATGGTGACACTAGACGAATTCATGGAGATCTGTACTACCGTAAGTATAGTGTGGGTGTACCGTAAGTATAGTGTGGGTGTACCGTAAGTATAGTGTGGGTGTACCGTAAGTATAGTGTGGGTGTACCGTAAGTATAGTGTGGGTGTACCGTAAGTATAGTGGTGTACCGTAAGTATAGTGGGTGTACCGTAAGTATAGTGTGGGTGTACCGTAAGTATAGTGTGGGTGTACCGTAAGTATAGTGTGGGTGTACCGTAAGTATAGTGTGGGTGTACCGTAAGTATAGTGTGGGTGTAGTTGAAAAAAATTAAATATCTTGAGTGTTTAACAGTTTATATTTTTTTTTTCGATTTTTCTTCTAATTCGTTAAGTGAACTTAATTCTCTGAACACTTACAAGATTTATTAAACAGTAATAATAAAAAAGAACTTCAATGATAATAAGATACTACTACTACTACTACTACTACTACTACTACTACTACTATTTTTAGGATCTCCAACCTCCCCTTATAGCCCTACCTTCTCTACCACTACTACCACAACTACCACAACAACTACTAATCTCAGTGTTACACCCCTACAGGACGAGACCATCGCCAACTCACTAACCATCCTGGACACGAGCTTCTGACATGAGGCCCCCACCTCTTCCTTACTCGTGCCCGTCAACACACCACAAGATCTCAACTGCAACATGTAGAAGCGCGTACCGGGGGAGGGGGGGTCAGGTACTGGGGCCACACCGGGAACTACTGGGATCAAGGGAGAAGCCGCAGGGAGACAAGATAGTCGTATTGATATGGAAGGTGTGGTGAGAGGTGGAGGTGAGGGGGAGAGTGAGAGGTCAGGGAGACGGTTCAAGGGGAAGGGGAGAGTGAGGTGGGTGATGGATCAGGTAGAGAAGGTCGTGGTGACGGGGCCGGGGGAGGAGGAGGAAGAGGCGTTGATACTGGGGGACGAGGAGGAGGAGGAGGAGGAGGAGGACGAGGAGGAAGATGATGAGGAAGAGGAGCCCACATTCCTAACAGAGACTTTAATATGAGGAATTCTGACCCCTTGTGTCCTGTTGTAGCTGCCTTACTTCCCGTTTGACCTCCTGTTATCCTTCCTTCCCGTTTGACCTCCTGTTATCCTTCCTTCCCGTTTGACCTCCTGTTATCCTTCCTTCCTGTTTGACCTCCTCTTACCCTTCTTCCCGTTTGACCTCCTGTTATCCTTCCTTCCTGTTTGACCTCCTGTTATCCTTCCTTCCTGTTTGACCTCTCTGTTATCCTTCCTTCCTGTTTGACCTCCTCTTACCCTTCTTCCCGTTTGACCTCGTGTTATCCTTCCTTCCTGTTTGACCTCCTCTTACCCTTCTTCCCGTTTGACCTCCTGTTATCCTTCCTTCCTGTTTGACCTCTCTGTTACCCCCCTCTACAAACATACCACCATAAAATCACCAGGATAAGTGGCAGGAACAGTGTGGCAGGAATAAGTGGCAGGAACAGTGGTGGCAGGATAAGTGCAGGAACAGTGGTGGCAGGATAAGTGGCAGGAACAGTGGTGGCAGAATAAGTGGCAGGAACAGTGGTGGCAGAATAAGTGGCAGGAACAGTGGTGGCAGGATAAGTGGCAGGAACAGTGGTGGCAGGATAAGTGGCAGGAACAGTGGTGGCAGGATAAGTGGCAGGAACAGTGGTGGCAGGATAAGTAGCAGGAACAGTGGTGGCAGGATAAGTAGTGGTGGCAGGATAAGTGGCAGGAACAGTGGTGGCAGGATAAGTGGCAGGAACAGTGGTGGCAGGATGAGTGGCAGGAACAGTGGTGGCAGGATAAGTGGCGAACAGTGGTGGCAGGATATAAGTGGCAGGAACGGTGGTGGCAGGATAAGTAGCAGGAACAGTGGTGGCAGGAACAGTGGTGGCAGGATAAGTTGGCAGGAACAGTGGTGGCAGGATAAGTAGCAGGAACAGTGGTGGCAGGATAAGTGGCAGGAACAGTGGTGGCAGGATAAGTTGGCAGGAACAGTGGTGGCAGGATAAGTAGCAGGCAGTGGTGGCAGGATAAGTGGCAGGAGCAGTGGTGACAGGATAAGTGGCAGGAACAGTGGTGGCAGGATAAGTGGCAGGAACAACTTGTTTCTATATCAAAGGAGCAAAAACGTGAGAGATGCAAGATGATCACACAACGATGACGTCACTCCCCGAGGAGGACGCTCTTCAAGACTATATGGGATGATGTTGGTCGGTGAGGCTGTACAGTACAGTGTGTTGAAGACATTTTTACAAGTATTTTTAAAAGAGAACGATGATAATGGCATATTATACATATATATATACATACATATATATATATATATATATATATATATATATATATATATATATATATATATATATATATATATATATATATATATATATATATATATATATATATATATATGCAAATAAATCACTGTAAGTGCGCACGATTCAGGTATATGCGGTGGTGAAGAGGACGAGCTTGAGGTATACAGTAATAGGGTGGTCGTTGTGTCACCCGCCCACCCATGAGTTGACAGAACCCATGTGTATGCGGGCATGGGTGTGCGCACATCCATGTGTACACGCTGATTTTGTTTTTATTGCCTCTCCCTTGTGGCCCCACGCCTCTGCTGCCCCCCCCCCCTCCACTAGTTCTTTAACTTGGCTCAAAGTAAGATTCTTCGTTGCATGAAAATATCGAGCGTCAGTGTCTGTAGACACACAGACAGACAGCTGGCATCAGCTTGTCACTGTGGGGTGAAGGAGACTACCAAGCGTTGATGACAGCTGGTGCTGGAGATGCTTTTGTGCTACGAGCCTTAATTCTTTCAGTATTACCTAGAAGGTGGAGTGAGACGCGACTGTCATATAAACCATAGTTAATAATACAATACTGTACTCTCTCTCTCTCTCTGTTACTTGAGGAAACAAGTAACTCATCGCCTCTCGCTCTACCCTTCGTGACTTAAGGCTCAAACATCCGCACGTTAATTCTCCCCTTAACTAAAGAACTAAAGTTTGTTCATTATGGTAAGATCAAATAAGCCCCGCCCATGTTCTCTCATGTAAGCATGTGATTGGTTATCCCGACTCAGAATTTGGGATCCATTTGGCCGTCAGATGCCAATCAAGAACTAATAGGTGTAGCGATAAGAGGTCATTCTTCGCCCGCCCTCTTAGTGTCGTAGGTTGAGGTCTCCGAGTGGACATAATACTGTTTTTGGAACCATTGTGATTAATTTTATTATTACACGGATTTTTTCACTAAGACTTGTACAGAATTTTTTGTTTCTTCCCGTGTTTATCACTGTTATGAATTGTGTTGACGGAGAAGTATTAGACTTATGTGAACCTTAAAACAACCCAAATTCCAGCGAAGACGAAAGCTAAGACAAGTTGTCAAATTTCTTCATTAAGGCATTGTGTTGACCACACACGGAAGACCTCTGAGGCCAGATGATATTAACTGTAGGAAGATATAATGATATACTCGTATATATAGGTAAAACATTCTGTGAGGGAGTGTTAGTCTAGGCTAGGGCATATACCGTATATGAACTGTTGGAGGCTAGGGCGTACACTATACCTATACTGTATATGAAGTGCTGGGGGATATAAGCTTTAAGGAGGCAACGGTTTGGAGGAGAAATAACACAAGGATGTTTTGAGAAGCTTGAACCTGTGATCACTTAAGACTCTGCCAAATCTTCTCATTCCAGGTGTCAACAATAACAAAGAAGACGTCCAACCTAGGAAACCAATGTTGTATTTTGTTAATTATTTGCTAGATGAGTCCTCTCCCCCTGCCTGTAGTCCCACACGACAAATATTTTCATAACTGGAAATTTATTTTGGCTGTTGACATAACAACTCGTGTCAGCGCCAAGTGTAGAGTTTTAGCTGTTGATGTAGATAACAGTACTGAGAGACATACTGTAGATCCTATTGTAGTGTTACTCGTCTCTTGTGGACAGTCATCTTGGTGGTGTTGAGGAGAGGTTTGTCGTCGTCAGATACTATACACGCAAATAAAATATTCCCGCTGATCTTACATAATATATTGTTCGTGTCATAAAACAGTGACGCACGCGATAGAGGCTCTGGCGAATGTTAGTGTGGCGTACGGTCCTCAAATGGATTACTGCCGGATGGAGGGAAGGCTGGCGAACGTTCGACCGGTGTACCTTCCCTACAGTATGCACAACTTTGCAGATTATCGAGGAACACTAAGGCCTTGTTGACTGTTTGTAGTGGCTGCTGTTTTATGGCGCAGCTAAAGGTATAGTGTAGCCTACTGTCTACCTGTTCCACCAACAGACGTTCACTTTACCAGATAAACAACACAGGAAAAAAAATACATATATTTCTTAATGCTTACAATGTTAATGAAAAAATAACTATGTCTGGGGGTTATCACTGATGAATTGGCATAACATTTTAGGAGTTCCAGTAGAGTTTGGCCCTCAAATGGCCCCCAAGTGTCCGTCAAGTGCCCTAAATGGCCCTTAAGTATGACTCTCCAACAAAAGTTTTGTTTTGCCAACCAGAGTAAACTGTGACGTCATTGATCAACGTTCGTATATGAATCAAAATTTTCATGTTTGATTTTACACATTCTTGACCTGCAACACCAGGTAGTTCCCTGTAACACCAAGTAGTTGCCTGTAAACACCAGGTACCTGCCAGTAATACACAAGTCAAGTGCTAACCCTGACATAACACCGCCAAGGTAGTCAAAGGTGTTGGTGATAATAAAAACATAAAGTTACCACCACAAGTATTATGGTCGCTGACACATCCTACGGTCTCAGTCACATCCTATGGCACCGGCCACAACCTACACGGAGTATAGGATCCTTCGCCTGTCTTTGTGAGATGTTTGAGGTTACTTCAGGATGTGACTAGATTAATGTATTCCTAATCTGGATATCCTTTATGAAATTAAGCGTTGGTTAATAAAAAAAATTAGAGGATATTCATTGTAATTCTCCGACTGGTCACTTGTTACTGGCATTGATGACGTCATTAAGTGTAAATGTCTGATTGGCTACTTGTTGATATTGCTGACGTTATTAGGATGGAGTTAGCGTCTGATTGGAGACTAGTTATAGATTCTGATGACGTTACTATTGGGAATAAGTGTCTGATTGGTCACTTGCTCTTAACATTGAAGTAAGAGTCAATGTTGCCAACTGTTGACGAATCCCTGGAGTTGAGGAATCATTCTTCTAGCGCTTGAGACCACAACACTAAATATTTTCAAAATTTATATACATAATACAGGTACTGCGTGGGTGATGTATTTTAGAGATAAATTGAAAGTGAAAACATTATATATATATATATATATATATATATATATATATATATATATATATATATATATATATATATATATATATATATATATATATATATATATATATATATATTTATTTATTTATTTATAAATATACTTATATAAGGAAATTAATTGTGTACATATTAGAAGATATGAAATAGTTGGGCATTTTAAAAGTTTAAAACCAGAAACGGTACTTTTAGAGTTGTGTGTGCGTGTGTTGCCGGGTTAGTGACTCATATTTAACCTCTGTACACTAGCGAAGACAAACTTTTAGTTGGTCCTCTGTGGAGATTTATTACAATATACTGTACTTAAGCGCTTGATATACTGTAGCTGGAGAAGGAAGCTCCAGCCCCTGTGACCATTTTGCTGCTTTCTCAATGTAAACAACTTTTGTGACCCTGGCCTATGGAGCGGCTCCACCAAGGTTCCCGGGTCAACATCTTCATAGGCTCATGCAAGTGAAGCTTCTACTAACTAAACATCCAACATTAGTAAATTAACTAATTGACTAAACATTAAAACACCAAAAATAAGAAATAAATTGGGACAAAATTTGACTGAGCCTCTACCTTAAGTGGATACGTTCCCTTAGGAGACAAACTAACCTTTATAATCTCTTGCAAGAATCTCTAACAGTGTTCATTGATCAGTAAACCTTAAGGAGAGTCTCAATCTAATTTTTCAGCTATTGTTTTTTTTAAATAATTCATTGTAGTTTTGAGCTGAAGTCAACCAGTCAAGTACATAGTTGAGTCTTCAGTCAGGAGAGGCGCCATGGTAAGAGCCTATGTGTGTGTGTGTGTGTGTGTGTGTGTGTGTGTGTGCGGGCTCTCGGGCAGAGCTACACTATCTCGTCATAATATAATATAATATAATATAATATAATATAATATAATATAATATAATATAATATAATATAATATAATATAATATAATATAATATACCGGGTTCCTACTCTTAGTGGGTCAGACTATATACATTAACATGTTGACAATTACCTATTTCATATACATAATATACTATACAAAAAGACTGAAAATTATCAAATGTCACCATATATTTTGTGAATGA